TATATATATATATATATATACATATATATATATATATATATACATATATATATATATATATATATATATNTAAATAACTCGGCGACGTTGCTGAAGCGACGCCGCATCTCTCTTCTCGCGGGCGGTATATATATAAAATTAATATATATATATATATAAATAAGTATATATATATATATATATATATATATATATAATTTAAAAGGCGACGTCGTCGAGCCTCGGTGACGTCGCCTTTTCCTTCCCCACGCGGGACGACGTCGCCTCGTTTATATATATATAATCCGAAAAAGGCGACGTCGTGTTGCCTCAGCGACGCCGCTGAACGTCGTCGAAAAAGGCGACATCGCATTGTCTTTTTCTAAAATATTTATAAATAAATAAATAAATATATAATTTTATTTTATTATTATTTTTCGTTCCGCCCGGTAGCGGACGGTCCACGTACTGGTATGCCATCGGATCGGTATGTATCGCCCGTACCGGGCGGTATCATTGTGCCCTCATTTTTGTTATTATAACTTCTTTTGCTTGGTTAGGACCAAATGTTGTGGTAGAGCAATGCATCCTACTATACTATAGATTGATGTTAATTTTACACTTTACTAATTCATTTGTGTAAAGATTTATCAATGCAGATTAGTGCTTTGAGAAAAGAGTTAGAGTCTGTTCGGCAACATCGGAAGCAATATCGTAATCGCCGCCTATCAGTACCTGTTCCTGTTGTGTCCCTGGTAAGAACCTATGATTACTGGTGATGCTAAACTTTCTGTAGAAGTAAATTGAAGAAAAAGTATTTAGGTTGGTTACACAAATGCTGGGAAAAGTACACTCTTGAATCGCCTGACCGGAGCTGATGTTCTTGCTGAGGATCAACTTTTTGCTACACTAGATCCAACTACCAGAAGGGTCCAGGTAACATTTTGCAATTTAAGTGGTTAGTTCAAACTACGCTTCTCCAATTGAGTGAAGCTGCAGTTTGCTAGAGTTGAGGAAAACTGAACAAATGTTTACTACTTGAAGCATCTTAAGCAAAAAAAAAAAAAAGAGGTGTTTTTTGTAGTCATTGCAGGATTCTCTATCGAACATGTCATCTACCTGTTCAGGTCCACTCTTCAAAACAGAAAATAATGAAATTAATTGAAATAACACTTTCATAATTTCATTTAGATAAGATCCATATTACAAGGTAAATTGCATACTTGTTTTTTCCTTGCATGTCTTGCCTACACCTCGGTTAAAAATATCTTGTTTAATGCTGTTAAATCTTACTTAGGATTTGATACCTACTTCTTTGTGACTCTGCTACATAGACCATATGGGGGGAATTTTAGTTCTTTTCACCATGTATGTTCTGATGTCTTCTGTCTTGCTACCCTCATCTTTGCATCCACCACCTTTACAGCTAGCTGTTCAACACCTTAACTTCAGTAATCTAACAACTTCTGTGCTTTATTCTCTGCCACCCACCTCCCTGCCGCTTCACCACAGGGCATGTTTATCAGCTCCCCAGACCACCACTTTTCATTTGCACCTTTGCCATTAAAGATTTACACAAAAACAGTCTAATACTTTCTCATGCTATATAGTACAACAACGATAACAAGCTGTGATGTCCCAACTGTTTGGGGCTGGCTATATGGATCTTGGCTATGTTATATAGTCACACCACAAAATTGGAATGAGAAAAAGAAAGAAAATGTGTCGCAGAAGGAAAGGTTTGTCCCAAGGATTATAATTTCGAATAATATCGCCCGTACCGGGCGGTATGTACCGGTTCGTCAGTAGGCTGGTACACGGACCGTCCACTACCGAGCGGTATTATATATATAATATATATATTATATAATATATATATTATATAATATATATATTATATAAATACGAGGCGATGTCACCTCTTTCTCCCCGTGGGAAAATGCGACGTCACGTTGCCTTAGCAACGTTGCCGAAAAATTCTTTTTTACTTTTATTTATAAATATATATATAAGAAATTTTTTTTACTTATCTATATATATATATATATATATACCGAACGGTATATCGCTCGGTATACAGTACCATACCGTACCGAGCGAATGTCGAAACTCCGGTACGATACGATATTTCAATCTTTGGTTTGACCACTTTTCCGAGATGCAAAATCACAGATCATGGAGCTAGAACTCCCTGCATTTCTCAAATATTAAAGAAGTGAAAGAAAAGGGATTCACATTAAGGGTAAGTTGTCATTAGTGCATGAGATGAGTGGCTGATATGTGAAAATTTCATCAATGTACGTATGTGATACTTGTTCCCAATAATACAATAACAAAATCTAAACTAGGGGAATTTGAGACTTTTGAGTAACTATGATTTGATATGATGTATTCTGTAAAAAAAAAATTCTAAGATCTATTGCTTTCCGAAGCAGATAAGATCACCATGGAACTGGGAATCACGTGTATTTATTTGAGCTGTAAAAGTCATTTTATAGTCCAAGAAGAAATTTATGTTTTCCATGTCAGATGTTGACCCAAAGCTTGTACCTTAGATCCTGTATTTTGGGTTTACATTTTGATGTCCGTATTATTAGAGGAATTGAGGTATGCCTAATTAGATAATATAGTTCAAAGGATTTTCTGTTGCATAGGCTTTTAAATTTTGAAAAAAGATCAAATTTCTTCACTAAATAGTTCTAAATATAATGGGAGTGTTAGTTACAGCCACCGGTCTGATTGACCAGCTAACTGACTGTGCTCTGGCCCACTGTTTGGAATTTGTGTTGGGTAAATCCTTGTGATTTATGGGTTGATGAAAAATAGATTCTGGGATCTTTAGGATAATCATCATTCTACTAAACTACAGGCGTTGATTGCCATGAACTAGGTATGTGATTAGGCCAGACCCACTAGGATATTTATTTGAATTTGTCAAGCCTATGGATCCTCTTGATCCATACCTAGCATTTTGGGTTAAGTGCATGTTGGTTATTGTCATCAGTTATCAAACTAGAATCTAGAGCTCATCAAGTTTTGTTAATAGATCCAAAATGAGTATCCATATTGGGTCAGATTTTGGTTTGGGTTTCAGGTTATAAGGTCCCGTTGACATCCCATATTGAATCTCTTCTGAGTTGGAAAATTTTCTTTGGCATACAAAATTTTTTGTCCAAGTTAGTGTTAGTAATCTATAGGGACAATTCAGGGTCTAATCCTGGTTTTTAACCCATACTTATGAAAACACCATCAAAATAAAAAACCCACCTGTTCTTTATCTTATGCTTAATATAGATACTTATGCATGTAAATTACATTCCTGCATTCAGATGGCTTCATGCAAATAAAACCAAACTAAATACCCCCTGCTACATTTTTGTTTAGTTAAAACATTTAAATATGTAAAGAACATCCTGCAGTTCCTGATGGCTATGAACTTAATATCCACTTACTGTTTGAAATTTTGGGTCTTAAGTTTTAACCTCATCCAAATCGTTGATTGAGGCTATAGTATCAGTCATTTTTATTCTAAATCCCATACGTATTGGTACTTGGTTGCCACTTAGAGGTGTAAGGTCTTGTCATTTAGTGTCCCTATGTCCAAGTTCTGATCCTAATTTAATTGAGCGTTTACTAATTACTACATAAATCCAACTAGTATAATAAGTTTATGTGGAGACATGAAATATATATCTGTATATGCTATTTATTATATCTAGCATGGTTCATCTTATCGGTCTGTACTAGTGTATTGACCAGCCATTGGTACGTCATGTACTAATATATTGACACATGATACGATAAGACATATCGATAGACCGGTATGCATTGCTTGTACCGATCTTCTGTTGGATTGATATGTACCATCTACACTGAGCGGTATGCTACGGTACGGTGAACCTTGCTATCTAGTTTATTCTATATATCGAATGTCATGGATTGAACCTTGTTCTGATGATAAAAGTTTCAGCCAGGGTCTGCCGTACTGAACCGTATCGCCCGGTACAGGCGGTACGTACCAGTTCGACAGGTTGTCGGTACGCGGACTGACTGTTACCGGTCCGAGCGCACTGTAGCAGTACTACAGTACTCGGCACACCTGGGTGTATCGCTCGGTACACCGTACCGTATCGGTACCGAGCCCAGGTCGAAATACCGGTACGGTACGGTATTGCGAACCTTAGTTTCAGCTACCATGAGGAGTCCTGTACCAAGCCATGCCAAAAAACTGTGCCACATTGATGCCAGATATTTTTGACTATGGTTAGGCCAACTTTTGACCTATTTCAGCGGCAGCGATTTTTTCTTTTATTCTCCCCGATTGTATTGTGCTCACAGCATATCAAAATTGCATGCCTTTGATATTAGAAATCTACCTCTCACCCTAGTCATGTATATGTTTAATTTCATTAGTTTATAATTCTTTTGCATAGGTTTCTTTACTGCTGCTAATATTGTACAATATTTGCTCTTTTGTTTCAGATGTTGGTAATTGAATGTAAATCAGTCTAGCATTTTCTTTTTTTATGGGAATTTCTAATGGTACATGTTTTGAAATGAACAGATGAAAAATGGAAGCGAGTTCCTCTTGACTGATACTGTGGGTTTCATTCAGAAATTGCCTACAATGCTCGTATGTGATTCTATAACTTGTTCCCATTCATTCAACACCATTAGTTTTGATATGGAGAGCCTATAAAGAGATGGTATTAATTTCATGTTGCTGCATGACTGCAGCCTAAATACCATAAGATAAAAACAAAGCTGTAGCCTCGGCATCAAATACTGACTCTAGTCATTCTGGTCCAAGAAAATGTAGTTCAAGGATTTGGTGTCAATAACTCAATACTACTTTGAATTTACTTTAGGTCTAATAAGTTTGGAGAAGTTTGATTGTCTTTAGGGGCTAGCTTAGTAACAACTACATAAATTAGTTTGTGGCATCGAAGGTTTAGTCCTTGTTGTTTTTCTAACTTCTCCGCACATGACCTATTTGATATGTCTAACTATGATATGAGTTCATGGGATCCAAAAATGTTTAACAAATAGGATTAATGTAGGAAATATACGGCCTTGGAATCAGAAACTTAGTAATTGGTCAGGGTTGGTTAGGTTCTCATTGATGAGAGGGTAAATGGCATGGAGGGAGAGGGAGGAAAAGTTTAAATATAATTGAGGTCCTTGGCCTATATGTCAGATCGAGGAGGGTAAGTTAAATTCGATAAGAGGAAAAGAAAAACGATTTTTTATGAAAGAATATTTTTAAGGAGGCTTAATATTATCTTATCTTAGTGATTTAAAAAGCACTAGGCGTCAAAAGGTGCCAAGGTCCAAAAACGCCTGACGCACTAGGTTTTCGCCCAAGCGAAATGAGGCGCTAAAATATAAAAATATATAATATAATTAATAAATATAATTATTTAAATAAAAATATGATATTAAATTAAGAAAATCTAAAGTACAAAGTCATAATGTCACATTAACAAAAAGTCTCAAAATTCAAAACAATAAAATTTTACATCAAAGTCATTCATCATAATTAATATTATCGTCATTTTCAAACAAATCATCTTTATTGAGGTCGTCCTCTTTCTCTTTTCCTTTTCATTAAAATATATTTCATTCTTTATGTTTTTAACAATAGCAGGAGTCGAGTTTGATGCTGTTGCACTCATTTTTCTCTTCATCATTTGTTTTGTATATGTTTATAATTCTTCAACACTAGAAGCTCTTGCTACATCTCCCTATATCAATCTGTCGTCTTCAAATATAAGCTCTCTTCGGCATCTTGCAAGTTGGCACCCATTTCTCCTACTAACCACTCATTTGAATCATCAATATCTTATAATGAGATTGGATTAATTCTATTTCGTAAATCATGACTAGCCTTCAAAGTTTGATAATACTTTATGTAGACAAGATCGTGTAATCGTTGATGTTCAAACTGATTTCTTCTCTTTGAGTGAATCTATCAGTTCATATAATTTAAAAATATATTAATATATTTATCTAAATAAATAAATTAATTGAAACAAAAATATTTAGTGATCCTTAAATGCTCAAAGACACTCCAGTTTCGCTTATAACCCAAGTACTACATGTCAAACTAAGTATTTTGATAGCAAATTATTGTAAGTTCGGGATGGAATTTCCAAATAAACTTCACCATTCAGTTGTAAAATGTTATTATTAGTAATAACATAGTAACATATTATAGTTAAAATTAATTATATCAAATTATTAATACCTAGGGATATATTCAATGTGCTGAATTATTCTTCCTCATAGAATAATCTTCTTTTTCATCCCTGATATATTCAATATTATCCTCTGGTAAATTCTTGTAAGATTCATTCTTTTGCATCTTCTTTTCATTCATATAAGCCAGCAACTCTTCTTTTAACTCAGGTGGACACTTCTTGCAAACTGTTGCATTCTTAAAATTTCCTACTAGATGTTGTTTTGCACGAAAAATATCACCTTTAGTAGTCTTATCATAGAAGATGCAAGTCATCGCATTAGGATCTTTAGGATCCTTTAGATAATTATACTTCCATGTAGGATCTTTTTTTTATGTCATTGGAGAATCTATTAAGTTGCTCTATACACTTGCCATTTATCCTGAAACCCTAATAATAATTTCAAATAAATAAAGATTAGCAGTATTAAAATCAAAATATTATATTAATAATCTAATAAATAAAAAATACTATTACCACTATACTGTTAACAGTATACTAAGTCGAGTCGATGTGAGAAGAGTAAGATCGAAGTTGTTGATTGAGAGTAGTGGCAGCGGCGAGTAGCGACGGTGGTAGCGGCAGTGGAGAGCAATGACAGTGGAGAGGGGCAGCGACATTAGAGAGGAAATGTCGGCGGTAAAATCACGAGCAGGGTTAGGGTTGGGGAAGTCGTGAGGGAGGCTGATTACGGTGCTTTAGTTGGTTTGATTGAACCAACTAACACAAATGAGACCGAACTAGACCTAAAATGTTGGTTCGGTCACTTGATTTAACTCGAGCGATCGCCCGAAGCACTTGGCGCCTGGGCTCGGGCGAGCGCCCAGGCGGCGCCTCTTTGAAGCGTGTCTCCTGGACATTAAATGAAGCGCTCGGGCCTCGCCTTGCCTAGGGGCACCGCCTGGACATTAAATGAGGCGCTCGGGCCTCGCCTCGCCCAAGCGCCTAGGTGAGTGCCCGAGTGCCTTTTGAAGTCACTGATTTGTTTTTATACTAGACCATACATTAGGGTGCATTTAGGAACAAATTTGAAATGTGCATTGAGAGCCCAATGCACATTTTAAATATGAATTGGTATTTGATAATTTTTTTTAAAATCATATTTGACCTGGATGCTGCATTAAAAATGCTTAAATGCTAATGCAACCTTAAGGTAGTATTAGCATTTCAACATTTATGGGACACTAAGATAATTTTTTAGCGTTTCCTCATCCATTCTTTCAATTTTTATCATCGTCCCTTTTCTCACAAGTCTGAAATTTTATTTATTTATCTTTAAATTATTTTAAATTCATTTATATATATATATATATATATATATATATATATATATGGGCCGTACAAAATTTTGTAAGATTACGTACGTTTATTTATTTATTTTATTTATTTACTTATTAATTTAAATGAAAAATATGTATTCATTTTTGAATAAATATTAAAAATGTTTGAAGGGTAAAATTATCATATAATATTCAATAGACTTTTGAAATATAATTTTATCAAACAACTCTTATGTCAATGCACA